ATATATTAATATTTAATAAAATAATTTTTTAAATTTTAATTTATATTTTAATTAAATAAAATAATAAAATTTAATGTAAAAACTTCAATTATTTTCAAAAATCAAAAGTAATATACACTTTTTCTAAATTAAAATTATAGCCATAAAAAAATTTTAACATTTACAATTTTAGGGAAGAAAAAAAAAATGTTACGTAGACAATTTTATTACAGCTCTGCAAAAGGCGAGCTGTTACTGATGAAGCGGGCGGATTCCAATGTAAAGAGCTAAACAGATTTAAGGACTGTGTTGAGGTCCGTGTTCTTGTCGTTTCAATTCCCAACACACCGCATCCTGGTCAGTATTCATTCTGTACTGTTTCCATCCTTTTCTTCTCTCACGGCGGTCGTAGGGAAGGAGAGTTTCTCTCAGAGATAGAGAAAAACCGATAACTGAAGAAGAACAAAATGGGAAGACGAAGATCCACTTCTTGTCTCAAAATCATCGCGTGCGGTGCTGAACATGACGACGGCGAAGTCTCGGAGGTACTTCTATGACTTATTCCTTCAACTAGCTTTTCATGTATTAGCTGCTTTGTTCTTTGATTTTTTGCCTTTAATTAGAGTGTAATGCTCTTTTCCTCGTACAATTTCTTGATTTCTTAATTTAATTAAGAGACATAGTTTTGGTTTTCAATCTTTTCGATCTGAATTTTGAGTTATTGTTTGTGTTCCTTCGAGAAAGGCTGGAAATGGTAAGTAATCTAAGTTTTGATAGTTTGAGTTGTATTTTAGGATCTATGTCTGATTCACGGGCGTATCCATGTTAATTTCATCCCATCCAGATTCCACTGACATTTCCCTCTTAATTTCAAATCTGATTAAATTTAAAGTTAATTTGATCAAAAATCGAGCATTGCCTGATGCGATTCATGAAATTCTGATGTAAGTTCCTCCTGTAGATCATGTTTTTGCTGTTTGCAGTTAGAAATGCCATTGTGTTTCAGTCTAGGCATTAGTAAGAAAGTGCAGTTTTGTTTATTGATGTACATTTCTGAAGGTTTGTTTTTTCTAGTATAGTATAGCAGTCTGATTTTCCATTTATTTACTGGATGCACTGGTTCATCTCTATATCAGAGATCTTAGTTCTTTCCTGATAGCTCCTAGTGGGAAATGCATATAAATGGAGAAATCTAGATTGATCTAAGATTTGAAGAATCTTATGAATTGATTCTCCAAAGGCTGATCAGGACTCAACTTTGAAGTTC